CACTACAAATTGGACGTACAATGAAGGAAGTGATGAAAGTTGAGCGCTCAAGATAAATCATTGAAGATAAGAGCTTCAAAGGGGATAGGGAATTAAACATTTGTATTCACTTGTAAAGGTACAAACGCTTCAATTATTAGAACTAAATGATGAAGCTCAAAAATCATTTCATTTGCTAAAAATGACTTTGACCATCACTTGCATAAAATATTTTAATTAAAAGCGAAAATTGATTTTCAAAAATATAAGTGAATTTAGATCATATTTTAAGAATATTCGAAGACAAAATGGACCAAACTATTGAAATGCAGACGTCCAAACAAGTAATGAACGTCCAGATCATTCGAACGTCCGGATGTCCATGCGGACGTCAGGATCATGAAACAGTTACTTTTTTACCGTTTTGACGTCTAGTGCACAACGGATAGCTTTTGTACTTTCAGACGAGAAAGTAGACATCCGATTGACTGTCCAGCTCCACGAATACTTTTGCCTTTGAATTTTATAAATGCCATCTCACTTTGCATTCATTGCAATACTTTCAAGAGCATTTAAGTGAGATATTATTAAGCAAAATTAGATTGATCTTAAATGTTATTTATTGTCGTCGAATCGTTTACTTTGAAAATCTTTGATTTATTCAACCTTTGAAAATCATCTTTTCATCAAAGTTATTTTATGTAACACTTGAACTTCATTTATTGCTATTCAATTGAAGCATTAGCCAATTTCTCTCTTAATACTTAATTTGTTTATATCATTTATTAAGAGAGAAGTTCCAAATTGTAAAATAATTTCTTATCAAATTTGTAAGTCATATTGAGGTCCTGTAAAGCTCAATATTGTACAAGGGTAGATGCTTCTTGTTTTTAAGTTACTAAAAGTGTTATAAGGGTTTAGATTGTACCATAAGTCAATCAAATATGGTGAAGCGGCATTGCTCATGACGGAGAGCTTGGTAATGGATGACGTAGATCATCATTTTGGATCGAACATCCACAATTATATCGTTTGCACCCTTTCTCCCATTTTTACTTATTAATTTTCTGTTTGTGTTTTGTGTTTGATTGATTTATTCATTCTCAACTTGCTTGAATTTAAATTAATTTTTCGAAAAATTTTAGAAAATCAATTCACCCCCCTCTTAGTTGTTATTCTTAGGCTATCAATTGGTATCAGAGCATGTTTCTCATTTTTAAAATTAAAGATTTCACAATCTTGAGTAATGGCTAACCACAATCTTCAAAATCTTGAGGGGCATTCTACAAAGCATCTTTTCTTTGGTAGCACACACTATAATTATTAGAAAATTAGGGTGATGATATATATTCAATCTATAGATTATAATATTTGGGAAGTCATTGAATATGGTCATTATATGCCTACAAAGAACATTAAGGTTGATGACAAACCCAATCAAATTATTCCAAAATCTAGAGAGGGATTTGATGAAGATGATAAAAGAAAATTATCTTCAAATGCTAAATCCAAAAATATACTTTATTGTGTTTTAGATATAAATGAATTTAACCATATTAGCACATGTTATTCTGCATATGAATTTGGCATGCATTAGAAGCCACTCATATTGGTATTAGTAAAGTGAAGGAAGCCAAAATTAATCTTTTGGTTAAAGAATTTGAAAATTTCTTCATGACATAAAATGGACATATTGTCGATATGATTACTCGTTTTACCGATATTGTTAATGGCCTAAAATGCTTTAATTGTAAATTTACTAATGGTGAACTTGTAAAAAAAATGCTTAGGTCACTACCGGAAGATTGGAGTTCATTAAGGATGTTGATTGAGAATACCAAAGATATCAACTCATACCCTTTGGAAGAGCTTTACGGTACATTGATAACTTATGAGCTCAACAATGTCAAATTAATAAGAAAACAAGGAAGAATTAAAGGAGCCTCCTAAGCGTCAAATTGTTTTAAAATCGACAATTGAAGAAGGAATTACAAGGGAAAATATGAGTGATGAAGAGCTCGATGATCTAGTTCTTCTTGTTAAGAAATGGAGAGGTCTTCGCAACAATCAGAAGTTTAAAAAAAAAGAAGAAAATGGTGAAAAAAGAAGCAAGAAAATCATTTGCTATGATTGCGACAAACACGGACACAAGAGAATTGAATACTCAAACAAAAAAAGAAATATCAAGAAAAAGACACTTAAAGCGACATAGGATGAAAGCGACGATGATCACAATGAAAATGATAGTCATGGCAATCGAAAATTAGGTATCAAAGAAGACAAAAAGCAAATGGTTCTTGGATATGCTCGAACCACATGACCGGAGATAGGACTTTGCTATTAAATTTCAAAAAGAAAGATGGAGGTCATGTCACGTTTGGAGACAATGCAAAATGAAAAATCATTGAAATTGGAAATATTGGTAATTACACATCCCTTGATATTGAAAATGGTTTCTTAGTTGATAACCTCAAACAAAACTTGCTAAGCACTAGGCGATTATGTGATAAAGTTTTACCAAGTGCTTTATTAAGGTTGTTACATCAAAAGAGGTAATATTTATAGGAAGCCGAAGTAAAGGTATTTATATCATAGATATCGAATTTGAAAGTGATAAAAAAATATTTATCAATTTTAAAAGATGATACTTGGTTGTGGCATAAAAGATTATGTCATGTTAACATGGATCTTTTCTAAAAGATTTTCAAAAATTGTTTTGTCAAATGATTGCCAAATTTAAAATTTGAGAAAGAAAAATTTGTGATGCTTGTCAATTGAAAAATGAGCAAAGACTTCTTTCAAGATTAAGCAATATTCTTCAACTACAAAACATTTACAACTTCTCCACATGTACATTTTTGGACCTTCTAGAACCGCTAGCGTAGATGGTAAACGTTATGCATTCGTCATAGTCAATGACTTATTTAGATTTACTTGGGTTTTATTTTTAAATTTAGATGATGAAACTTTAAATGCATTTAATTTTTTTTGTAAAAATGTTCAAAATGAAAAAAGATATTTCATTACAACTGTTAGAAGTGATCATGGTGAATAATCTGATAATATCGATTCTGATAATTTTTGTAATAAAAATGGATATGAACATAACTTCTCGGCTTCTAGAATTCCTCAACAAAATAGTGTAGTAGAAAAGAAGAATCGTACATTGCAAAAAATGGCTAATACCATGCTTAATGAAAATAACTTACTGAAATACTTTTGGAGTAAAGCCATTAATACCGCTTGCTACATTGTTAATACAATTTTAATTAGTCGAAAGAAAATAAAAACTCCTTATGAGTTTTGAAAAAAATAGAGTTCCCAATATCGGTTATTTTAAAGTTTTCGATTGCAAGAGGGGAAGAACAGAGATGTAGCGCCTAGGCACTGCACTTATAGCTCTTAGGTGCTACTCAGATTTATATTGCGGTGCCTAGGTAATGCCTCCAAGCGTTTAGGTGTTGCACCACCTGTTTTAGAGTTACACTGTTTTGGCCTGCGAAAAGCCCAAAAAGACTCCAAATTTGGTAAGAACATGTAAGGGAGTATAAATAGAAGAAAGGGGGGGGGGGGGGGGGNCTTTTATAGAGTTCCACACATTGAGAAAAAAATAAATACAACTAAAGATTAAAGAGCGTAAGTGAAGGGAGAAAAATATCAAGAAATTCAAGTTTTGAACCATTGATTGGAAGAAGAAGATTTTAGAGCAATATTAATTTTTTTTTCTACATCTTTATTCAAATCCGATGATGTATTCAATAACGACTTCTTGTTTTTCTTCTTCCACCATTATGAATAATTAAATTTTATATTAGGGCAAATAATGTAGTCTAATTGAGACAATTTGTTTCTTTTATTCAAAATTCTTGTTATTTTATCATACATGTGTTGATTTTGTTATAAGTTTAATGCGTTAAATTATTTAATCACTAATTTGATGATTTTGTGAATTTTTTAAGAATCGACAAGTGAGTTTGAGATTTAGACCATATAGTAAAATCTAGTATATTAGTATAACGTGTAGAGATATCTATACTAAATATTGCGATCATTATATGAATTCTTAGATATTTCGTTTAACTTTGATTAATTCACATAGAGTTATGTAATTGAATTAGTTAAATAAGTTTAATAAGAACTCGAGAGGGGTAAATTGAATATAATAGAAGAATTCGATCGAACGCTATATTAAACTCTTGAATCTTGAATTAAGACTTAAATGTGATCAATGGGTGAAATTGTTCGGCCCTAATATCATTCCATCATTTGAATTCTTAATCAATCTGTGTATGCATTTTAATTAATTTCAAATGTTTAAATCAAAAATTCACAACATATAATTCTTTATTTACTTTCATCAATTAAGAGTTAGAAAAATCTAATTAAATTCTAAAGTATAGTTCTAGTGGAAACGATAATTCGGATTCAAATGTCCAATATATTACTTGTTGCGATATTATACACTTGCGATAGAAAAAAAATGCAACACCATATTTGGGTTCCTCAACCATAGACCCGCTCAATGAAGAACTGGAGTGGAGACCTTTGAGGTAGATTTTAACGCTGTCAACACGTCTACATCGAATCCATCAACTAATTGCAACATCAGATTGTGCATTGTGATGTCGACCTCAAGTAAATCTGATATACATGCCTCAGTCACTTGCTCATTACAACTTTAATCATGCTGTCTTACATCATCCCATCGAGTCGACAATGCACGCCTTCGACCGTGGCATAACATCAAGGAAGACAACCCCGCGCCTAGTACATTTTCATGGAAAAGCCCTCACAGTTAGCCATAGTCCACTAAATTGTCCATTCTGTGCTTTCCACGAAAAATCCTAAAAAACACACGCACAAAAATGAATACAAATCCAATCCATTATTCCCCTATTTCACTCTTCGATTCACGACAGAAAAGAGAAAGGGTTTCTCCCCTTCTCTCTTCTTTCCAATACCATATATACAAACATTTTGAATTATCTATATCTAGATAGAGAAAAGGGTTCCTCTTGTAAATGGATTTGACTTCTCAAGATTCATTGCAACTACCTAAGGAAGCTGTTGAGGTCAATGACAAGGTTGTTTTAAAGGAGCAAAAGGAGGGGTTTCCTGCTTATGGTTCAATGGTTGATCCGTTCCTAGTTGAGGCTCTTCAAAACCCTCGTCATCGATTAACTAGTTTGGTTCTTTTTCCCTTTTTTTGTATTTTCATGCTTCTGAATTTAGTTGTAACATCTAATTTAATTTTGTTCCCGTATAATGGTTAAGTAGATTTGTTTTGTATAGTTAATTGGATGCATGATTTTAGAGTAGGGTTAGGATTTGGGATTTGTGGAATATTAAATTGGTTGCGTTAGATCTGAAGAGGTTTTATTATGGTTCTTCTGGTTTTAATTTTGCATATAAGATGGGTGTTTCGATGTATGAAATTGTGGGGGATGAATAGATGTAAATCTTGAGAAAGTTGAATTGGGCAGAAATGAGCTAATTGATTTTCTGAACAGCTACGACCAGAAATACATAACTGTGGAACTGAATCTCGCTAGGTAATTTCACCTGCCGTAGTGAATTTAACAGTCATTAATCTATAGTTTAATGGTTGGACCAACTGAAATATTCTTGTGGATACGTAACATAAGTTGGGTATGGGTAGATAATAGAAGCTGCCATTATTATTGATTCCTGTCATTGAACTTTTTCTTATTAATTTTTCCTTCAATTGTTCAGTTAAAAATGCTCTGCCTGAACATGTTGATGACAAGGTATAAGAGCGAATTTTTATCATGTTAAATTAGGAGACAGAATAGTGACATTTTAATAGATACTCTCGGTTGTATGAAGATATAAGGGCACTTGTCAAAAAAATATATATAGGTAGGGAGAACAAAGCTAATTATACCTTGATGTTCTAAAAAACCTGAAAGAAGTTTCCTTTTTAAGTTTCCAAGAGACAGTGTATCAAAGGATATAAATAAGAAAGGTGTTATATTATAATCTTACAATGTACTTGTGAAATTTTGGAGAGTTTAATGAAATTGATGCTCCCATATTCCTCAAAATTGGGTATCCATTTTACATTTGACTCTGGCCATCACTGTGGCTGGTTAGACCTTAGTTTGCTGAATTTGTTTTATTTTGTTTTGCCTGGTGATTTACTGTATTTTATTTTATTTATTATAGTTATCATTATTGTTATTGAGGATAGATAACTAGTAATTGAGCTCTTCTTATCTATTATTTTTTCATCAGTTCTGCGAATGGAACTAGATGTACAAAAGTTCTTGCAGAGTTCTGGCATACATCAGTTCGAGTTTCCACACTTCCCTACGTCATACCTTCGTCTTGCTGCACATCGTGTTGCTCAACTCTATGGTCTGCAGACTATGGTTCAGGACAATCCTGTAGACGGTCAGGGAACCCGGATTTTGGTTTTAAAGAAGCCAGAAAGTAAGTTCCCTGCTATCCGTTTATCAGATGTACCAGCTGGACAGTCTGAAACTGACAAACTTGGTCAAATCAAGATTGTCTTAAAACCGAGGTCTTCTAAAGCTTCCTCCAATGATGTCAATGGACTGGGGCTTAAACGAAGTCCTGTAAGAACAGTGGAAGAGAGGAAGGAGGAATATGACAGAGCTCGAGCTCGTATATTCAGCAGTCCAAGTAGTTCCGAATCAGAAGATACGTCAGGTTTGCTTGCTTCCGATAGGAAGAACTTAAATATGGGCGATAATGAAGTTTCAACGAACTTGGTAGTTGATGGTGAGAAAAGTCTGAGCAGCAGGGAGATTGGTGTTTCTTCAAGAGTAGCCATTTTCAGGGACAGGGAGAAGGATCGCACTGACCCTGATTATGATAGAAGTTATGAAAGGTATGTATTAAAAAAAATGGTACTTTTTGTGGATAGCTATGCATCTTTGAGGTTCTAATTTCTAAATAAATATAGTGGAGCAGTGTTAATTGCATGAAGGATTTAATGTTTTTTCCTCCTTATTGCATGCACATCTAGATCTACATATACCTATTGATGGAAGATTCCATGGTTCGTTTTAATTCTATAAAAGTTTCAATAGAGAGTACCAAAAAATGCTGTTCTTCTTGTGCTTCTTGTGGTCATGATACAGCCACCATATACTTTTTGCTCTTTTTATTTTTTGGTAATGGAACTTACACGATGATTATGGAAGTGTTTTTTAATGACTATTTGACCTTTATTTTAAATTATGATTTTAAAGAATGTATAGTTCTTTCTCAAGCCACTGTATTGCCTTAACCAACATGCTCAAAAAAGTTGATCGAAGTCTTCCCATCCCAAAGAATTCACCATCCTAACCTTTCACTATTGATCCCAGGAGGATATACATGTTCTTGAATTAGTTGAAGATATACCTACTGCGTGTTACTATTGGCACATTTGACCAATTGTTAATCTTGGATTATCTTTGATCCCACAGGCCTCGTTTGGTATATTGGACTAGGCTGTGTAAAAAATTTAGTCTAAATTGTAACTGATTATTAGATATATGTGGTATTATAGTGGATGAAGGTTAATAATCCATTGGTTTTTCATTCAAAAGAATGTCATTACTATATCTTCCTTATCTGGTCTAAACCTACCTCCAACCGATGTATTATATTATACGGTGGATGGTGCAAATGACTATCTTTTGGATGAAAAATTATAGAACACTATCCACCTTAATCCATCATAGTACCATATGTATGTATGTATGTATGTATGTATGTATGTATGTATGTATGTATGCGCGCTCGCACTAAATTACTTATATTGCCTAATCTAGTGTGCCAAACGTAGCCATAACATAAAATAGCCTCTTTTGCTTAGCCCTGTTTACAGATTATGTCAATTGACGGCTGATTGCACTTTCAACTCTAGTCCATTAGCTTCTTTTTCAATCTTAGGTGATGCCCTCCTCTCTTCTAATGTACATTATGTCCCCCCCATACGCTTATTCTTGCAACCTCCCCACAAATGACGAGAGACCAAATCTAAGGTAATTGAGTGAGTTGCATAAATCAGGTTTATCGCTATCCTGATTGCTTCTATTTAATTACACATGGTCCCTGTTAGTTCCCTTTTTTTCTCAATCTTATAAACTTGCACTTTTACAGCCACTACACTCAATCGTATATTGGTGAAATACTTCTACAGCACCACCTATTTTCAGTTTGTAGAACTTTTGTAGCATATTATAGAACTTTGGGAAATTTCATTTTGAGTACCATTTTTTACTTAATGATGTTTCGAGTTATTACAATATATATTGATGCTATTGCACATGTCCTCTTTAATATCATGCTAATGCAGATATGTTAAGAACTTACCGAGCATTCAAAGTTTCAATGTAGCACCTATTAATGCTCCGAAATTCCCACCTCCATTTGTGCAATATGACTCTGTTATTCCTCAGCTGGGTCAGATGCCTATGGCTCAAGCTTCCATCAATTACAAGAGCCCTGTTATGAGCCCTTACCATGCAGTGGGATTGAATCAGACTTCTAGGGGTGCTTTGTACATGCAGTGGCCTACCCAGTCGATGATGTATGCAGAGTCATATGATCACTTGAGGCATACCATTTTTCAGGTAGGCACCAGCTTCATTCTCCAATACCTGTTCGGCTGTTCTTTTAATGCTTTTGGGATCACCATGGATTTTGTATTGAAAACTGTGAGCCTTTACTTCGTAAGAAAGAAAATGTTTGCTGACTAATGCATATGAAGAACTATTCTTTTGATCATCCATCGTGTTATTTGCGATTTATACAATTAATTCAACCTGCTCTGTTTCTTGTAGGCTTCCTTCTATCGGCAGCCACTGAGTTTTGAATACTCTCAGAACCATAGATGACTATCAAATTATAAGCTGGGAGAATGTCTGTATTACTGAACGAGCTACTGTTTTTTGTTCCCATCTAGATTTTCATGATTAGATGAACTGTCAGAGACTAGTAAACTTGGTATTTAATGTATCTTCATTCTCCATTTGCTTCTGGACTGACTATATTTATTGTAGAAAGATTTGATACTACAAAATGTCTATTTGTGATGATATAATTATTGCACGTCAGCCTTGCTATATCAGGTATTTTGCTCAATTATAAAGGGATTGTGGGGTCATTATAGTATTCGGAACGGTAATAACTGGCTAGAGATGACTTTGGTAAAGCCATTTTTGTTGTCAAAAACAGAAATCACTATTTGCCTGTTGGGTAACACAATTATAAAAGTTTTTGTTTAATATCGTCCAGTTCATTGAGTACATTGTAGTTGAAATACTGGATACTTCAACTACAAGGATCGATTTAGGGATGCCTTGTGCCAATTTTTGGCAAAACGGTACTTTTTTTTTTTTTCCTTAATTGCTCAACAATTCGTAATTTGACCAATCCAACTGGTTTCAAATATATTTTTTCAAGTGAAAAATAAATTTTTTTAAAAAATTTGTGCAATTGAAAAGTGGAGAAAAGTTGTGGATCATATAAAATGGGTGGAATATGAAAATGGTTTCGTAAAGAATGATTTTTAAAAAAGATTTGTCTACTTGTACATTATGGA